GCGCGATGAATCGAAATGGAGAATGGAGAGAGAGGGAAGGGGAGGAAGCTTCGGTGGTCGCAGCTGCGGCGGCGGAGGAATAGTAGAGAGACAGGAGATGAGACGAAAGAGACGGAGATGAGGGAAGCAGACGGTAGAGTGAGAAATGAATTAGGTTTGGTTTGGGATTAAATTAAATATGAAAAACCTTTTATTGTATATAGATTTAAAAATAAAAATAAAAAATATTTTTAAATTATTAAATAAAACCTGATTTTTGAAATGTTGAACTTGTTGTTGGATTTTTGAAATTGGAAATCTATTTCCAGGTGTGGGTGTAATTTCCTCTTTATGTTATGCCACTGGGGCTCACCAAGTTCGATACAGGGTTAAGCCCAAATTTATACAGAGAAAAATCTACACAAAAATTAAGGCCAAATGAGATGGTGGATTTATATGTACATAAGTTTATATAAAAAATTAAATGATATCACATGTCATTTTACTATTTGTCAATTCGTAATACTGTCAACTTTTTCATTCAATATTTTCCCTCCACGTAATTTTATGTAATTCCTTATATACCATTTTTATGTCCAAGTACATAATCCATGAGATAATAATTTGTTCAAAAGTTTTTCAACCTTGCTACATTACATACAAATTTGCCACATTAGTCGATTTAAAAAAAGGCATTTTTTGCACAAATCACTTGTTTTCACACCTTCATCGCCGTCCAGGACAATGGCAGAGCTAGCACACGGAGAGGAGGCACGACCATGTGCGCTGACTCCATCGAAACATATAGTCAGAGTAGTCGCCGGGAGCATGTCGCCATGGACAAAGCTTCATGCTTAAAGGTTGAAATGTAGGTGCGCAGATGACAGAGTGATTTAGAAGATGAACAAAAGTGGATTGGCCGAAAAAATTTCTAAGTTGTGGCCCGTTTCTTTTGAGCCTCTTGTAAAAAAAATGCCCCAATTACTCAATCCAATGGATTGAAGATGCACAGTCTGCTTGCTGGTTTTATTCACTTCTAGTTCGACACTTCAAGGGCACAATGAAGCAAAATTCCAATTCTAATTTCAAACCCTATTCGCAATTGTGCCACTGTGCTGAGCCATCGTCGCCCACTGCCATACCGTTCCACGTTGCCACCACTGCATCACCATTGGTAAGTAATTCCACTCATGAGTCATGACAGCATGACGTGAGCCTCCTATCTCTCTTCATTTTTCTTTTTTGATTTTTATTCTTTTAGTTCGTTTTTCAATTTATTATTTATGAAATTATGAGTTATCAGTCAAATTTATCAATTATGATTTATGATTTTATGTTTTATGATTATTACTATTTACCGTGACAATGTGAGACTGTTTGTGACTTAAGAGTAAAGAGTCTGCTGTTAGTGTTAATATTTATGAAAATTGAGGATTTTGTGAATTTGAAAATATGTGATATCATATATGTTGACCGTGGACTGTGATTTGTGATACATGAAAATGATAATTTGAAGAATTTGTGATAAATAATAATTTGGTGTCGAAATTTGAAAATTGGAATGAAAACTTGATGATAGTATAATGATTCAATATGTGATTTACGTTTAATCTTCATATAGATTTTTTGAAAACATTGACAATGAGACAATCTTACAGCGCTTTCGAAATATTAGACTCCAAACAAAGCAATTGTTTGAGCTTACAGTTACTGAGAGAGGTATTATGTAATTTTTCTTATAATATCGGGTTATACTCGGTTAGATTTTCATGTTTATATGATATTACATTTTAGTGCATTTATATCTTAATTGAATTTTTTTAATATTATTTAATTAATTATTAATAAACGATTTTGCCATTACGACGGTAGACAGCAGCTCTATCTGGCTTCAATTCCTAGATCGGCCGCGGATCCAGGATGTCAAATTCATCAGACAAAGTGACATTATTCAAAAAAAAATTGTACAACAGTTTCACCTATTATAATGTAACCATGCAAGGTAGTGACAAGATGAGCTCTTGATCAGGTGTCGGAAAAATAATAAGGGCGTGTTCAGTAGAGATTAAAATCGAATTAAAATTGAAAATTTAGTCGTTATTGTGGACTTTTATTAGACGAGTAGGACCCAATAACGGTTATATTTTCAATTTTAATTGGATTTTAAGTTCTACCAAACAAACTCTAAAGCTTGTTGAAAAAATCACTCCAAGTCAGCTCCCTTTAAAAACTAGAAGAAGCATTTTTAGAAAACCCCTCGACTAGGAGTACTTGGGAGAAACAAGTGCAGTCTTGGCAGCAGTAGACTACAAAAGACTAAAGGCCATGTTTGATTGCAAACTTTTACGTGGAAAATGTCAAATCCGAGGAAAACAAATTTCACTTTGACCGTTTGATTGTAACGTAGAAATGGAAATCGAATTTCAAGGTAAAATTACTATAAGCTACATTTTCTTTGTTTTCATGGAAAACGAATTCCTACGAGTTTAGTGGGTTTTTATTTTCCAACTAACATGAAATTGAAATTCATTTCCACATTTGCCTATCAAACGAACCATAAATTATTTCTTCCATTTCCAATGCACCATCGAATATCCAATTAAGCAGATTATCCCCGCCTCGTTATAGGCGGGTCCCATGGGTAAATTGGGTTTATCGAGTTTTTTGTCATTCCTAGTCCTCGATCCTATCTTTGCTATAGGTACAAACATCCACTTTTATTAGTACATGTTAGTAAATAATAATTTGCCCCACAAATATAGGGTGTTTTGCCATTCCTAGTTCTCGCTGTATAATAGGTACAAGCATCCACTTTTATTGGTGCATGTTAGTAAATAATAATTTTTCAAGGGCCCTTTTATTAGAATCGAGAAGAAAAATTATCCTTTTCAAGTACTTAACAAATATAAAGCCCTTACTTGGTCTCTGTTTGGCCCTCAATTTTTTAAACTTTTTAACTTCAATCACACATTTTAACAAAATATATTAAAAAAAAATAACTTACTTTTAGCTGACCAAACGGGGGCTTAATATCGACTTAGTGCAACAACTGATGCGGACTTTATAGCATTACAAAAATACACGTTTATGAATAAATCTAAAAATGAGTTGCGACCTAATTTTTTGTCGTTTATTAGAAAATGGAATGGAATTTGATAACGTTTGTTTTTTATTTATTTGTTTCACACAATATGAGACTATTTATAGGTGGTAGAGATGCTCGATCTCGAAACAATATGTATTATCCGAATTTCTCGTCAAACATAATATTTATTAAAACAATAAATTTATTTTACTTCCGTTTGAGAAAATTTTACAAACAACGAACTTATAAATAAATAAAAATAAGTAATAAATAAGTGGATATTACTCTATAACACTTGGCGATCATATCGTTGTCAGAGGTTAGAAATGATATTGGACCTAACTCAATCTAACAAAATCGGCTTGTTATGGGAGGATTGCCCTCGCCTTAAGTGGATCGTATAAATATCATCAGTCAATGTGGGACTCTAATACGCCATTTCACGCACAACGTGGACCATACCAAACAACTGTGAACAAATCGATATTGAGTGCACTCAACATTACAAAATTGGGTCTGCTCTGATACTATATTAGAGGTTAAATCATAACACTCGATAAAAATGATTAAATTAATCATATTAATGCTTTTCAAAAAGCACTTTTGTTTTAATTAGTGTTTACCGTAACGTAACATGCAACCACTTTTTACATGGCTCCTCGACACCGCTCCCAAGTAATATCAATCATTATCTTAATCTTAACTATCTATTAACATAATTGATTAGTGCTAAAGGATTGCTTTTAGGTTAATTCTTTAACCGACACGATAGATTAAAGTAAGTTTAACGGGTTAATTGACATAACGCGTGGCATTGTGTACAAAAATTTAATTCTAAGCTAAGCTCGAGACTTAAAAACAGAGTAAATATTAGTTATTTAATGAATAAATTATGAAAAAAGAGTTATAATTTTTACTTGTCGAGCTGGGAAGTCTCTATATGTTAATTACTATTTTTATATTACATCGACATCGGGGTCGACTGTTAGATTTTGAATGCTTGTGCAAAATCCAAAAGGGTGCCCTTCTTTCATTTAATTAAAAATACATATTAAAAAATAGTATATTCAGTAAGTGTTTATAAATAATTTAAATAATAAATAGATAGAAATAAGTGATGAATACGTGGATAGTACTTATGGTTCCTTAAAATTTGTCAATAAAAAATGCATAGAGTGTTTATAAACAATTTATGAACTTAGAACCAAATATAAACCAAGAGGTTGGGATACCTTGGCCCTAAGGATGAGGTCAGAGACAAAGCCACATTGGAGGTTATTATGTTTGAGGCTAGAGTAGAGAACAAAATCCCCGAAGGTTCAAGGATATTAGGCGTGCTAAGTTGCGAGGATGGGGACTTATAATAACGTCGATGCCGTGCTCGAGATCATGCGTAGAGCTCATTTATAGGTCGATAAGAAGGCACATCAAGTTAGAGAGGTCGAAGTTATGAAGTTTTTGAGGAAGACTTGTAGGGCGACCTCAAAGTTGAGATCCTTGAGGAAGGATCCTGACCGAACTATAATTATTGAATGTGAATAATAAAGTCAAAAATGAAACATGATCTATATTGAGGAACCAATCCCAACACGAAGACAAAGTGATAGTATTGGAATCATGGTATAGATCTCGGGGTGGAGGATCCTCAAAGTCGAGCCACTCTTCTCTAAGAGGCATGATGGAAGTCCCGTGAATATGGAGCTTAAGGTTAAATTTTGGGGTTGAAAATTTGACCTGAACTTGGGAAAGGAGGCTTCAACCTAGAGGAGCCTCCAGATCCGCCCAAGGATGGACGATGCGTGAAAAATGGTGGTCAACCATATTTAAACGTCTAGAGAGGGCATGGACTAAAAGGCGCGTGACTTTTTTTTTTAGATTTTTAAAGGTTAATTAAACTGATTAAATAAAAATAATAATTATTTATGATTTAAACAATTAAAATAATATTAAAAGTAGAAAAATGCCTTTTCCTAAGCATGTTTGAGCTCGTAAAATTTGATACTTAACCTCGATGCCTTGGACGCTGCCAGTCTTTCTTTACTTCTGTATAGTCGTTTCTTTTTAATATTTGAGTTATTCCTCTTGTAAGGGGGAATAACTATCAGAATCCATATAAGTGTTACGCTGACAGCACCTGTACGGTTGCCATTTTTCTTCTTTTTGACCGACTCTCAATGATAAAATGTCATATCCCCTGTAAAATTTCAGATAGCGTTTCTCTTGTACACCAAGCAATGCTCCTTTTGAGTTATTCTTTTTCGATTTTAATTTTGAGAAAATTGAGTTTTGAATAGTGATTATTTGAAAAATATATGGTAAAAAATAGAAATTGTTTTGAACTTATATGTAAAATATTTAATATATAAATATGTTATTAAAAATTAATATGAAAATTAGATGAAACACGGGCCTCCATAAAGAGGAAAGGTAATCCCTCTGTCAGAACACTTGGGAGTGGCAGTATAAAAAATTTCTTGTCCAGACTCCGTGAAAAGAAAAAGCCCCCTATATATATTTTTTTTAAATCCTTCATGTAAGCAAACATTTATGCATATCCAACCAAAAATCCTCAGCTCATTCTCAACTAAAGAGGAAAAGTGCAAACAAAACTCTCAAGTCGCCTACATTTCTCCATCCCCACCTCTATTTTAAGTCCCTTTTCACATTTTTGTGTAGTATTTCGATGGAACTTAGTTTTGTTGCAGTTCTTGTTTCAATCACTTTGTTCCTCTTTTTTGATGCCTACTTATGCACCGCTGCTACTCCCATTTACTCTTCAAGGCTGATTCACAGGTTTTCTGACGAAGCGCAGCAGCTTTGGGTGTCGAAAGGGAAGAGCAATGGAAAAAGTAATACCCAAGGGGCGTGGCCGGAGAAAAAGAGCTTGGACCATATGAGATTGCTGTTGGGAGGTGATTTGAAGCGGCAGAGGCTCAGGCTTGGGACCCAGAATGAGCTTTTGGTTCCTTTTCAAGGCGGCCAAACTTATAATTATGGCAATGACTTGGGTTGGTAAGTGTATTTTCGTTTGTTAATTTTGTCTTAGTTATTTTGGAATTTATTTTTGTTTTTGCTATGTATTGCGTATCTATCTCTGTGTGTTTTATAGTTTTATGTATTTGGGATTAGGGCTTAAGATGACGTTTGATTGTCTAGCCAAATGTATGAAATTTCTGGAAATATTTGCTATTTTTCAGCAATACGAATTCGTGCATACAGTGTGTTTTAAATAGCCGAGTAATTTTTGTTCTATATTATGAATAAATAACTATAGAAGAAGATATCATAATTTTTCTGAATTGGTTAAACCAATTTGTGCTGAACATTACGTAATAGTATTGTGATAAAATCGGAATTTTTCTGAGATTATAGGCAAAGAATATTATTTATCCCACATTTTTTGTTTGATTTCCATAAAAAATTGAATTATGCTATGCTGGGCAAATAAGCGAGCACAAGGAAATTGCCAAGCTGGAAAGCCAGATATTCACATTTTATCAACTTGATAACCATTTTACAGTGTAGTGATATACGTTGTCTTGGTCTCAATCTGGAAGGCTGCACCTCGGAACATATATCCCTTTTTTTGGCTTCTGCCAACAATGGCACCGCCAAATCTTTATTTTAACTCGATTATCGAGTTCTGGCATTCCGCATGATGTAACTATAGCTTGAGTCCAAGGGACAGGAAAAAAAATATCCTACCAATTTGGAATATAGTGTCTGCTTATGATCAATATTAATTTTAAAGACGAATATTTGATTAATGAGGGTGGGCATGCCAAACAAGTAGGTTGCAGTTTTTTATGGCTCGGCCTTGACTCTTGATGCCTTGGCATCACGTCGCATCGGTTACTTCTTCCCCATAGTGGAAATGATTACGACATCTTCAACTTAATGGTATCTGTGCATAAAGAGAAATAATATTTCTTATCCTTTAAAGTTATTTATCTCTAAAAATAAGAAAGATATGTGAATTCCTGTTTCTTCCCTCACAGCAATCTAAATTTACCACTTGGCATTGCATACCTCATTCATGCACTAAACAAGTTCTGTGAAGCCCATTTAGTGGACATGCGAGGGTGTTACTCCGTAATAGTTTTAACTTTTACCATTCACAGATGTAAGTATACTACACTCTGGAATGCTTGTGCCATGCTCAAATTTCTGGCGGTTTAGCTTTACTTTGTAAATATGGTAAAGATTTAAAATCAGCTGTACACAGTATCGTGTTTTTTTGTTCTAAAGTGCTCTTCTAGTAATTCTTTAGTGAGATATTGTTCTGATATATAGTATATGTGTGGCATATTAATAATTATACTGCTGAAGCTTTTAGCTAGTCAATGAATGCTTGTTATGCTTGTGTTTTTTCTATTCTTTTAGCCTAAGTTTCCTTCTTGGTACAAATTTATATTATTGGGAGTCAAATTATATCTATAATTGGTCCAAAATCCATTACATGACAATTGAAGGATTAGAATGTTACTTCAATGTACTTGTAGTAATACCTGTTTTTTAATTCTTGTTGCATTACATGGTAAAATAACCCATATGAAAACAAAAATCCATGGAAAAGCTCGAGAAAGTGGAAAGATTAAATCTTGATTTCCAAATTGGCAGTTCAGTTATTATCTTTGGACTCAAATATCTAGATTTAAATATTTGCTTTCTTGACCTCTTTACTTGCAACATGGTTGAAGGTCCAATGGATGTTTCCATGGCTTCACCAAAACAATCTTATTCACATTGAGAAAATTATTCGATACCAAATGGGAAGAGGCCAGAAAACTGGACAATGATGACTCAAATAAAACTAGACAACATTTTTATGTCAATATATATCCAAATTTAGCCCATGTTTGGGGGGATTAAAATCAAATTTTTAGTAGATTTTGATAAAAATTGATGAAATGTGTGGTTGGAAAGTTGTGGGTCCTATTAAATATGTGATTAAAATTAATTGTTGACTTTGACTTAGGTAAAAATCTAGATTAAAATTTCTACCAAACAGGGGCTTGATGTTTGATTATTACGTGATTATTCAATTGCAGGTTGCATTATACATGGATTGATGTGGGGACGCCAAACACTTCTTTCCTTGTCGCATTGGATACTGGAAGTGATTTGTTTTGGGTTCCTTGTGATTGCGTACAATGTGCTTCACTTTCTTTAAGTCACTACTCCATGTTGGTAGGTATCCATCTCCAATGTCGGATACATTCTGTTTTCTTCATTTTTCTCTATATTGTCGAAAATATTTTCCGTGCTTCGGAATTAGATTTCTAACGAGAAATTTCGCACAGTTTCCTGATTAAGCCTATGTTTATAAAATTCAAACTACTTATTCTACGTACATGTCGTGGGACCCACAATTACTACCTATATATCTACCGCTCATTTCCATCTACTTATTAACAAAACCTTTATAAACACTTCCCTTACATGCTTTAATCTCAATATATGTTGAAACCTTGAGAAGATAAGAAACGTCAGATTTTTCGCTTTTTTTGCATATTATTACAAACAAATATGGAATTAAGCGAATTAATTTATTGGTATCTGAGTCTTCATATCTGAAAAGTCAAGGAATAGAATGCGGTTTTCTTTTTAACTCGAAGGAACCCCATGTTTCTCCTATCCAGCCCTGGCAATCTTCAGAAAAATAATAAAGAATCCTTTTTCTTTTAACATAAAAATTGATTTTCAATGCAGTTTTAGCTGTCAACTCTTCAGTGAGATGCTATGACTCTGACCTGTGATAGGGTACATAGTAAGTGATAGCAGGTTTAGCAGTTAATTCTCCAGTGATTGATTGGCAGGTGCTCCCTCCTGTTTGGGGCATCTATTATGCAGGATAGAGATCTGAGTCAGTATAGTCCATCCCGCTCGAGCACTAGCAAGCAGTTACCTTGCAGCCATGAGTTGTGCGACCATGGGCCCAATTGCAAAAACCCAAAGGAGCACTGTCCTTATACTGTTAAATATTTATCAGAAGATACTTCAAGCTCAGGATTTCTGTATGAGGATCAGATACATTTGGCCTCTGTGGGAGGGAACAAACAACCAAGTACTGCCCAGGCTCCTGTAATCTTAGGGTATGTTTAGTTTATCTGTCTGAAATCTTCAACCTTGTTTCATTTCGCTTTTCTTAACATATGTATATTTTTTTCTTAACTGCAGCTGTGGTAGCAAACAAAGTGGTTATTATTTGGAAGGAATTGCCCCTGACGGTCTCATGGGATTGGGGCCTGGGGGCATTTCTGTTCCTAGTTTGCTTGCAAAATCGGGACTTGTTCCACTTTCATTCTCATTTTGCTATGACAAGAGCTATTCTGGGAGACTGTTCTTTGGGGATCAAGGGCCTACATCTCAAAGATCTACTCCATTATTACCATTGAAAGGAAAATCGTAAGTCTATGGTCTATTTAAATAAGCTGTTACTATGTTCATTTTATGTACTTGTTACTTTAATCATTCTAGTATTTACTGGTGGGTTAAGATTTTTCTTCTTCAATTTCTTTCTTTCCTTTGTCAGGGTTACCTATATTGTTGAAGTGGAGAGTTACTGTGTTGCGAATTCCTGTCTAAAGATAACTCAATTCAAAGCACAAGTAGATACTGGGTCATCATTCACATATCTTCCACATGAGACGTATGAACAAGTTGTTGCTGAGGTTCTCCGCTTCTCTCTTAAGATTTACAATTCAATTCATTTATTTATCTCTTTCTAGTTTCATCGATAGTATCGTGTTCCTCATGATATTTCTATCACATTTCTGTTCGTTACAGTTTGACAAACAAGTTAATACTAAAAGGATTACAGCACAAGGATTTGACTACTGTTACAAGGCTCGGTAATCCCAGATTAACTTGATCGACGTTTCATTTTCTACCTCAGTACATTTTAAAATTTGCTTAGTTTCCCATCTCTCTCTTATTAGAGCTGATTGTCTGTGGTCATTTGAATTAATGCAGTTCGCTAAAATTACCCAGCATGAAACTTGTTTTTTCCATGAACCAAAGCTTTGTAATTGAAAATCCCATGTTCCAGGTTGCTGACAATCAGGTGCGTATTTGTAACTTTCTAATTTCGTCATGTCCTGGTGACCCTAAACAGTAACTGCTTTATTTGGCATCGTTGAACAATAATTTAAACTGAGCTAAAATGATTGAAGAACATCCATCACTTTATTCCACGAAACCTAATTAAGTCTTTTTGTAGTTACTATATCCCAGTCTTTGCTTAGATTTGATTGCTATGCATATTAAATGTGATTATGTTCTTTTCAAATTAGTAGATCACTGTTCACATAAATATTTGATGCGACCATTTGATTAGAATGTATCCATTTATTCACTTCAGCCCCGTTTAGAGATTCTACTTATTATTGGAATATGTGAATTGCTATCTATAGCGCTGCTAGGCACAGCTGAAAAATGTTTGGTTATGGGTATGAGAGTTGGTTGTTAGATAATTGATTATTGAACAAGCAGTAGTGTTAGTATTTACCCCAGCTGTAAGAATCATACTTTGAACTGTCATAATCTACTGATTGGCAGATAAACAGACTGACAACTATTTTAAAAAGACTGGGAAGTGATCCAAATTTTTGAAAAACCACGAGATTCTAGACCAGATTCTCATATTTTCCAATGTAATAGTAGTTCATTACTAACTTGTTCAACCGCTCTCCTAGAAAATACATCACACTTAATTACTTAGCCTATGTTTGAACCTATAAACTGTTCATAAACTCTCGAGAGACATTTTATCCACTTATTTTGGGGATCAACAAGTACTATACACTTATCCACCATTCATTTCTATTTATTTATAATTTAAATTGTTTGTAAACACTTCCCAAACATGCTTTTAATGTAATGTATGCAAATTTTCTGTTTTTATCTTGGAGTATATAATATAGTGAATTACTAACTTTGGATGGATATGCCTAGATAATAAACATTCTTTTCCCTGTATGCTTATTTTGCGATTTTCCATCACTCTCGGTACTTGAGAAATTGAATACAAAAAATTTTTCGTGCTTGATCTGTCTTGGAGTGCTTCTGCGCAAAAAATGGTTAATAGAATAAGTAATTGATAATGTGCAGGGAGACTTAAGTTGCTTAGGCGTACATCCTATGGACGGGGATATTGGTATCATTGGACGTAAGTACATATTTCCGTGCACTTATTAATCATACGTCTGTCTGTTACTTCCCCTTTTGTTCCTCTCTCTTTTGGCACACATAAAACACCAAGTAGGAACATTTATCTCGCAATTGACAATCAATAGATATGTAACATTATGCATAATAACATTACTTTCTAAAATTACATTTCATGCAGAAAACTTCCTGATGGGTTACCGCATGGTTTTTGATTGGGAGAAGTTGAAGCTGGGTTGGTCTAATTCGAACTGTAAGTAAATTTTGCGTATTTGATTCTCTTAAAAACTGTTTTATAAAAAGAGGAAAATATTAGGAATTAGGTGGCGATTGTTACCTTCCATAAGAAATATAAACGGATAATTTTGAAATTCACCATCTTTCACACGTTCAATGACTTGTATAAGTGGACCTGAAATGACATATTCTAGTATCAAATGCATTGTAAAAGATTATGATTACCATAGTGACGTGGGAGAAAAAGAATCGAAGACAATGAGAATGGTTATTATAAAATTATTAGAAACTAACCTAGCTTGTGTATTGAATTATAACCCGGACTGGTGAACTGGCAAACTGGGAGTGTGGCCTGTCTGCTTGACAGTGTTAGATCAATTTGCAAGCAAACCGATCAAACCTGGGCTGTTTGGAATGAAAACCAGCATCCTGTTAGGATGAACCGGGCAGGTTTTTTGCAGTCTTTTTAAAAAGCCTAAACGATGGCTTGAACCTTGGAACTCAAGGTAAATGAGGCCGCCACCACTATGCTAAGAAGGTTATTCTTACCTGAAGGTCTAAAATCTAAATGAATATATTTTAACATCAACATACTTACCAATATAGGAAAAAGAAAAATAATTCATTTCTCAACCTTCAAACGCTTGTAAAAATAATAATCATAATTTTTACTAATTATTTAATTATCAAATATCTGTTTTAACCAAGACTTTAAAAGTTGATTACATTTAATCCTCAAATTTCCATTTAAATATTATTTTTGTTAGGATTTTGACCCGTTAATGACCCACTGGTTCAACCTGAGACCTTGTCGGTTCAGAAACTATGATTGAAACTCTACAATAAGTGCTCTAAATCTTGAATCTATTTTATTCATAATACACGTCAAATGTACTTGTCTATGATTTTACATATTGAATGTACTAGATCTAATATTCATGTATAGAATGCTCCTACTACTAATATAAATAGGAGGACTCTTAGGTTTATTTCAAGCAATAAGCAAAGCAACTAATTAAAGAAATATACTTTTTTCAAGAGAATGAACTTCTTTTGTAGTGTTCTTATAAATGTGTCTGCGGTTATGGCTGCTTGATTTATTTGAGAGTACACCTTTGCTTCTAATAAATATATGACTAATATTTAATGAAAGTTATTACAAATAGATGATCTTATTATTGAGTAAAAATAATTCTTGTGTCCACAGGTCAAGACATTGGTGACAGCCAGGAAGTCCACCCGACACCTCCCCCAAGTGGTGCGTCGCCAAAATCTTTGCCAATAATCCAACAACAGCACCCCGCCAGTGGGCACGCTGTGCCACCTGCTGTTGCTGGTCGAGCTCCTCCAAAGCCCTCTGCAGCCTCTCCTCTTTCCTCGCTGCATCATTATGGCATTACAAGTCTGCTTCTGTTCGTATGGGCCATATGTGTAATTTAACCAATAATCTTTACAATTAGTATGTCTATTTGTATATCTTTCGATTGATCTCTTGTATCTAAATCAGGTCAATAGAGTATTTTGGTCTGTTGTTACACTCGACGTTGGATGATTTTCTATAGTAAAGTCTACAGCTATCTGCTGCTTTGTGTCTAATTGCCGTCATATGTCATGTGAACTTCCATTGGTAACTTGATCGAGTTTTTGTCTTTGCATCGATGTTGGAAATGGATTTTGGAAGATCAAAAGTAGCATATATAAAAGCCTTGTGCTGAAAAGAGAAAAAGATAATTCCTCGATGCATTTGGATAAGAATTTTGACTATTGCATACAAGTGAGGTCCATAAATTGTTCAACTAACAATGTAGAAGTGGGTACTACTTGTGAATCTTTCAAAATGTGTGGGTAAAATGAGGCTCGAGTATTTATATACATTTTATAAAGCATGGGCTTTTGAGGTTGTGGCTGGTAATGCTACTTTTCTATTGAAGGAAAAAAAGAACTCGATTTCCACACATCAGGAATGATCTCCTACTCATGGCGTGTATGAGTTCTGTTGTTTATCGTTTATGTGGCGTTGTCACGTCAATAGTTAAGTCTACAATTTTTTACAATTTAACGTTGAAATATAAAAAATTGTAGGCTCGATCGCTAATGTAGCGGTCACATTAGCAGGGAGCAAGATAACTCGTATCTATGGGTAGAAGATTATTTCTATCCCACACATGTATGTAAATGACCATAACATAAAAGTCCATCAATTTGATGCTGCATAGGGGAGTCAATTATACAGGCTTATGGAATAATTATGGGAAAAGGCAGATGTTAATGTTGCATTATCATGGATATTTTGAATATTATTATCCAATGTGTAAATGAGCATGTTAAGATGACTTGGTGAGCATGTTATGTCGGGTAACATAAGAAATGGGAACGATGACGCAGATTGAGGATGAATTTAAAGAATTATGACTTAGTAGGTCGGGACAGTTTTGTGTAGATTTAAAGAGATTTTGTATGTAAGGACGCAATCTCAATAAGGCACGTAGAGACTAGAAAAAGAGATTAAAATTGAATTTTGTAGTTGCTAAGGACGTGGTTGTTTCAGAGTTTGAACGAATCGACGAAAAAAGATTTATATAGTCGACCTTGAATGAACAATGTTTGATTTTTCGAGGTACTAAATTTGTTATCATAATTGTCTTTAGACAAATAATTTTGTATGCCGTTTGGATATGCTATAGTATTTAGACCATGTTCTATGAACTCCTGGGATAAAGGCTATAGGGGCATATATATGTATCTGCAAATTGCAAGTTTTGGTCTGCAGAATGAATCTCCTTTTGATATATTCCAGCCTCGGTCGATTTAGACACGAATCCTTCTTTTTATTTTCTGATTTTTTTTAATTTTCTCATTTCTTATTCAATTTATTCATCTTCTTCAAATATTAAGCAAAGCTAAACATATAAACATTTTATTTTATTTTTTAGTATCTTGTTCTTAATAAATTTGAAGTCGAGTTACATGCATTTTTGTAGTCATTCTGTTTAATTTAGTGTTAGGTTATGTTTGATTGCAACGAATTCCATGAAAAATGTCACATCCGAGGAAAGCGAATTCCACTTTGACCGTTTGATTGCAACGGAAAAATAGAAACTGAAATCCAAGATACAAACACTTTAAGCTGCATTTTTTTTGTTTTCATAGAAAACGAATTATTATGGATTTGATGAGTTTTTATTTTTCAGTTAACATGAAATTGAAATTCATTTCCACATTTGCCTATCAAACAGACCCTAGATTTTTCTATCCATTTCTTTGGGTATGGATTAATGTTTTGAGGGTCCCATTTCTTGTCAATCGACACGATAAACTCAATCAAAACTCAATCATGCACTTAACTTTTAAATCATCATGATTGTATAATCATATCATTAAATTGATAAATCCGACCAGGATAGGCTTCTCAGGATCTTTGAATAATCTAATGTTTCGTGCTGCGATAGAGACCCCATTATTTTTTTTTTTTGGAAACTTACAATGCAATTCATACAACTGTCTGGTATTCGGACAAAATATTTGTGTATGCACTATTTTCAGGGCCTTTGGTGGGTACCCCCGTTTTGTGATGTGGAACTTGGACAATCTGGTAGTAAATTTTTAGAACGAACAAAATAGTAGCTTTTCGATTTTTTTTTTGAGCAATACTACTAGTACATATGCGTTTACATAAGCGTGTACATAATGTGAGTGGAGGTGGGGCCTATGCTACAGTGTCGTGGGCTCCACCACACTCACATTATGTACACACCTATGTACAAGTAGATTAATCCTTTTTAAAAAAAAAAATCTTTTCACTTATTTATAATTGGAAAATCAATTTTAGCCCTAATAAACTAAAGTAATTCCTTTTATTTCATAGATTTATTAGTATTTCAATACTAAAACATCTCCCATTCCATAGTTCACATTAAAGATACTTTTTTAAAGCATATGATATTTTTTCTTATTGTATGAAAATAGAGAAATAGAGAATATTAAATTACTCTATCGATTTTTTGTCATTTTGGAAGATTGAAAGTAGCATATGTAAAAGGCTAAAAGCCCTTGTGTGCTGAAAAGAGAAAATAAAAAAGAAAAAAGAAAATTCCTTGATAGATTGCGACAAGAATGAAGGGATCTCTTTGTAGCTAAGTTATGAAAATGAAGTCTTGGGCATTTTAGGGTTGTAATGCTTTTTATATATTTGAAGGAAAAGGAACTTGATTCAACACGTATATTCAGAATTAGAAACCCTTATTTTATATCAGAACAATAAAATGTCGGTAAGAAAATAAAGACACAAAGAGCACGTAATATTTATGGAGATTCGTTTCAATATGAGTCTACAATCTCGTCCTGCGTTGATTAATTATGATGAAAAGAAGTTTACAAGAGAAAAATCGCACACCATATTTTTCTAACCTCTCTCTTTCGATGATTATAACATTAATGACGATTCTCTATTCATTTAAAAAAAAAAAAAAGGGTAAAATCCAAATTCCTAAACTATCCTTAATGAAATTTTGATCAGGGGTCAACACCCTCGACAATGGCTTCCTACCCCCTTATCGTGATTACATGATCATAACATGATTCGCATTCCAATTTCGCGTAGGAACAATAATTAGGATTCACAACTTAATAATGTGGGTAACCGGTCATAACATAAAAGCCCATTTTATTAGATATTGGTGCATGGGGAAGTCAAACAAGTTGGGTATTGCTTTAGGTCCTTTGTCTTTATGGAATATCAATGTGAAAAAAGGCAGCATGTCCATGTTGGTCAAATAGTGGATATGAATATTCTTGATCTATTACAACTTGTTTATGCAGGAACCTATCGTTACATAAAGGATCTTTATTGCTAAGGACTAGTTGCTTAGATCTTTTAGTCGACTCTGAAATTATTGAAAAAAAGGCGACTCATTTTGAGTTGCTTTGATTGTTTAAACGATTAATTTCTTACGAAAGTTTTCGGATATTCTATTCGTAGTTTAAAATGTGTGATATGTTACCACCGGATAAAGGGTATAGGGCCATCATGCGTATGGCCGAAGTACAAGGGTTGGTCTACACAATGGATCTCCTATTGAAATATGCAGCCTTTGTCGATTTGAGACGCGAATCCTTCTTTTTATTATATGCTAGTTTTCCATTTTCTTCCTCAATTATTCTGTGTTTTACGACAATAAATGAACTCTCGTTTACAATAAATTCACTCGCAACATGATTCATTTTTTGTCACTCAATTCAATTAGATCTCGTAATCCAAACTTTTATTTACATCGAGTCCTCTCCTTTGTCAATACAACAAAAATATATCGAATCCCATCCTTTGTCGATACAACAGAATATAAGAGTAATGGAAAACTGCATATTCTATTCATCCAAATGGGAACAAACCACTTTTGTCAACAGTTATATGTATTGTTCTCTCAATAAATTTAGATCGGCACTTCCATTTCTGTCAAAATTCTGAAAGGTATTCATCAACGAGTGTGTCGAAACATGATTGTTCGTGACCACAAACGCTGATTGTTTATAACGAGAAAATACCACATCATTTTCCTTCGTTCATACCTTAAATACCACAAACACAAATTATCCGTGACGATAATAATTAATTAAGGAATGCAATTATGTACATTGTATGATTTATAAAATTATAAAATATATTATATTATAAACCTTACGACACGTATATCAATTAGTGACATGTGCGAGAAAAATAATAAATTTCATATTATCCAATTTTACCTACCTATATTATGGATATGGTCGGTTAATATGTAACCATAGATAACATAAGATCTTCCTTAATTTGGTCAATACAATTTGTTCTATTCTTTCCTTCTGTGTCAAATTAGCACTAGTTGTTTAGATATTGATACTTTCTCTTCTAATAAAACATTTTAATTTAAATTTTTCGGACTTGTTCTCTTTGTATTTCAGTTTTGTGTTTTGAGTGTTCATTTTGACTTGATTATAACTGAAAACACCAAAAATGACAAATTTGTCGTTTTGGATTTTCTTTGTAAATTTTTAACTTTTTTTCAAAAACGAGTTTTCGAAAATAGGAAAGAAAACGTGTTTTTACTGTTTTGGAAAATCGAAAACAGAAAACGACTTGAAAATGATAAAGAGAACAGACTCTAATTAACTAGGGTTTTTGAATTTCTAAATGAATTATAAACTAAGCCCATGTTTGGCGTAGTTAAAAATCTGATTTTTCTGTAAATTTTTGAAAAAATGTACGATTGAAAAGTTAAGAATTTCATAAGAGTGTTGACTGCTGTTAAAATTAACCTAATGTTAATTATCCACATATATGTCTAAATTCCAGTATTATCGTGAATATTGTCTAAAATTACGATAAAATATCATAATTTTTATTTTTGTACTTTATAAGATTTATGAATAATATAAAATTACTTTAATTAATATAATATGGAAATAATCTCCAAATTAAAAATTGAAAACTATTCACGTTCTGGATTGCTGCCACCTGTCCAAGAAGCCATGTTTTATGGCCATGATATATTCTTTATGACCCTTCTTTTCCACATCCCCACCGTCCCAACCAAACCAAAACCAAACAACTCACAAATGGACAAATGGATGTAAACATCAAACCTTCAAAATTTCTGAGTTTTGCAAGTTATTAACTGATCCGTTAGAATTTTTATTTCCAAGTGGACATTCTATGCACCCTAGATTTCTACACATGCCACGTGTCACAATGATCTCCTGCAACGTGGCAGCAAATTGACGTTATCCGAATCTTGATCAAGAATCATGCAATCATTTTTTATGGAACCTTTTTTAAGGTCTTTTTCTGAGGTTTAATTAATTCATTAACAGTCTTTGACTCTTGACATTTCGTGTTCCCAAAGTATGAAATTCTACTATAAAAATGGGTTTTGAGATCAAGAAACATTCAAAATTAGAGAATTTGTTATGGGTTTATTAATTTGATATTGATAGACAGTTTGCATTTAAGTTTGTAACACTATACAAGTAATTAAGAAGAATGTTGAGAATTATGAATATTAATTCTATCATCGAGAATAATAAAATCACATAAGGAAAATGGACAGAAGAACGTGCAAGATTTATAATGTTCGCTTAAATGTGATAGTACATCATGTTATGTCGTTACAGTAATTTATTATGATAAAAATAAGTTTACGAGAGAAAATTATACATACCATCTTCTGTAACCCCTCTCTATTTTTTACGATAATTCAAAACCCTAATGACGGCTCCGTTTTCATGCTCCTATTTTGTTCAACTAAAAAGTTAGATTAAAATTTAAATCAAAATCAATAATTCATTTTAACAACGAATTTTATGAGGCTTACAACTTTTCAAGCATATTTTTCATCAACTTTTATTAAAATTTACTAAAATTCTTATTTTTATCTAAACTAAACAGAGGTAATAAGACAAATTAAGGTAAAATCAAAATTACAAGTGTGAAATTTCTAAACTATTCTTAATAAAATTTGGTAGGAGCGGACCCGAGAAGGAGTTTTCTGCTCCTCTTCCAACTTCACAACGACCTCACCGCGAAGATCAATATGCGTACTGACTCTGCAATAATTAAAATCCACAACATAAAATTAATCCCATAAGAAGTTTCTTGGTGTTTCTAGGCTTATTCTACTGCCCCACTCCATTATTTGCAGATTATCGTCTTCCATATTTTTTGCTCCTACAATTTGTCTATGTTTGGTGGGGATTAAAATTAAATTTTTAGTAGATTTTGATAAAAGTAAAATGACGTGTGGCTAAAAATTTGTGAATCTCATAAAATATATAATTAAAATTAATTGTTAAATTTAACGTTGATAAAAAAATTTAATTTTAATTCCCGCCTAACAGGGCATGCAACACACAAACACGTGTATATATACACACCCCCAGTCCTTCAAGACAACAAAAGGAAAACTCTCTTCACATTTCTCTCTATAACTCTACAAAAATCAAGAAAGAAAAGGTTGATTACTACTTACAGTCTTTTTCTTCAATCTTAGGTTTTGTCTTGTTTTCTCATTCGATCAAATTTGTTTCAGCTTCTTCAAGTTTTACCTGCCAAAAAGTTTTCAGACAGAACAAAGAAGAAGATGGGGGTTTCAGGCACTATGGAGTACTTGTCTGATCTGCTTACAAGTGCTAAAAAGGGTAAGAAAAGGAAGCAGATGAACACTGTATCTCTCAAAGTAAGAATGGATTGTGAAGGCTGTGTACATAAAGTCAAGAAAGCTCTCTCAGCAGTGAAAGGTAGCAATTTTTTTAAACTTCACCCTCTCATTTCGTCTCGTAGTTTGGTAAGTTGGATTGGACAGTTCGTTTTGAATTATGAAACTAATATTGCAGGCGCGAAATCTGTGGAGATCGACTTGAAGAACCAGAAGGTATCAGTGACTGGTTTTGTTGATCCAAAGAAGGTGCTGAAGGCTGCTAAAGCAACTGGGAAAAAATCTGAGCCATGGCCATATGTGCCATACACAATGATAGCTCACCCTTATGTTGCTGGAGTTTATGACAAAAAGGCACCTCCAAATTTTGTTAGAGGCACTAATGATCCAGCCATTGTCACTCTTAATCCAGTTGAAGAACAGTACACACTCATGTTTAGTGATGATAATCCTAATGCATGCTCTGTCATGTAATTAATGTCCTTTATCTCTCTTTCTTTGGGTTGATGATTTCTTGTAACTCAGTTAAAGATTTAAAGAGATGAAATAAAGGTTTTACTTTTACTTCCACGAATTTAATGCACAAGGGTGATGATTCTGTAATCATCCATATTTTATTATTTTTTCGACAATAAAAATTGTCTATAATTATAATATGGGCCGGGCTAGATCAAATTTGGGCCGCACACCTCAATCCCCTCTGCATGGAGTACTTGGACATGGCCCCAAAAATTAAGGGTGTCCAAAAGTCCCGAATCGAACCGGATCGAATTGAATTGAGCGGTTCTTCATAAATTAAATACTCGAACCGGTACCCGAATCGAGAACCGAT